GTCCAAACGAAGATTGTTCCAAGGATGGAGGGAACATAGTATCTACGAGTTACAGGAGCCAAGCGCTGTTTCCGCTGTCAGGACCTGGAACATACGTCGAAAGACTGCTGCCACAGGCCTTACTGCGCTTACTGCGGAGGCTGTCATGACATTAACGAATGTAAGGCGGACTGCCCTGAATGCATTAACTGCATCATAGCAAACAGAGATTCAAAAGTTAAAGTGGATACACACCATGCAGCGTACGCAGCAAACTGCCCAACATTCCATGCGCACAATCCAGAAGATTAAAGCACGTACTGACTACGGCGAGGACAACTAATTAATAGCCCAGCAAGCAAGGCATCGTCTACCTACTACAACAGCCAGTTCACTTAATAACAAGCGCAACTCTCTAGGAAGCAAGTCAAGTATTTTCACAGTTAGTAATTTTACCTTAAAAGTCAATTAATTTACAAAAGTAATGGAAGTGAATTCAAGAACAGAGGAAAGCAATGTGCTCAAGTTTGTCCAAATCAACCTCCAAAGAGCGCGCGCGGCTACTGCACAGCTAGTGCAATATGCTATGGAGGAAGAGGCGGACTTCCTTTTAATTCAAGAACCTTTTCTTTATGCAGGGCAAGCAGCAGAATTTCCCCTCCAATGGACCGTCATCCAGGATTCAGGAAGTGAGGGAACAAGAGCGGCAGTAGTTTGTTGCCACAGCAGATGGTTGCCAGTTGTGCTAGCAAAGTCAAGAGACATGGTCACAATTGCAGTCGAGGCTATGGGACTGAGTGTCCTGGTCACGAATGTTTACATTCCACCTACAGTAGACGTTTCTCCCACATTAGATGCCTTGCAGAATATCCTTACGTCCTACCCGCATGCACACCATGTATTGGCAGGAGATTTTAACTCTCATGCGGAGGACTTCGGATATCCGACCACAGACCCAAGAGGTAGAGAAGTTGTGGACTTCATTGCATGCAACGGACTCATTCTTCATAACGTGCCGGACAGTCTGCCGACCTTCGAGACCCAAATGGGAAAAGGATGGCCCGACATCACTCTGTCAACAGCGCGTCTGGCTCAGAAAATACAGCACTGGACCGTAAGTGACACTCCCTCAAACTCGGACCATCGCTATATAACGTTCCAGATAGGTCAGCCACATGCGCAGTTTATGAACAAGCGTTATAGAACCAATGGCAGAAAATTAAAAAAAACTTGTAAGCAGGCTAGGACCAGTACTAGAGCAGGTGGACGAGGCACTTATGAAATGTCAGAACATAAAGGATGCTGACGACTTAACCACCAGTATGATACGAGATATTCAATCTATCTGTGATGCCACCCTAGGCCTGAAATCACCAAAAGTTTTAAGAGTGGCAAACTGGTGGACGAAAGAGCTCCGTGCACAGCGCAGTCGCACCAGGGCACTTTAGGCGTAAGATGAAGAGCGAAAGAGACCCAGACAGGAGGCAAGCCCTTAGTGTTCTTTATAATAAAGAGCAAGCTCAGTACAAAAGGGCAATTACAGCCGCAAAACTTGCCAGCTGGAGGGAGTTCTGTACTAAGAATGTAGAAGTCTATGGTGCTCTCCACAAGATAGCTTCGAACAAAGTTTACAGACCACCGGAGCTAAGAGCCTTTGCAGGGCAGCAGGCTGGACACATAACAGAAATCACGCTCAGGACAATTCTTGACGCCGTACTTCCGGAAGAGGATATTACAGATCCGTCCGACCACCAGGCTTATACGCTGCACACATCTGTCCCAGATGATATGCCATTTACGGAGAAGGAAGTCTCCGCAACGATCAAAATTCTCCCGAAAAGTAAAGCCCCTGGTCCGGACTCAATAGACTATCCAATCTTGAGAGCAATACATAAAGCAAGATCCGGCTTTCTCTCACGCGTTATTTTAACAAACTGCTAGCACTGCAAAGCTTTCCGGAACCTTACAAAACGGGGCAGGTTGTGCTCTTTAAGAAAGAAGGGAAGGATCCAAACAGCCCATCCTCTTTTAGGCCGATTTGTCTTCTCCCGGTAATAGGGAAACTCTATGAGAAGCTCCTAGTCCAGCGGCTTAAATTTCATATGACGCAGAGTGGGGCAATCTCTGACGCACAATATGGATTCAGAGAGCTACGCTCAACGATTGCTGCCCTATCAAAGATAAGAGACTATATCAGCCACTTGCATGAAAGGAAACAGCATGCAGCGGTCCTAAGTCTGGACCTGCAAAGCGCATTTGACTCTCTGTGGTGGCCCTCAATTTTAGAGGCACTGCACCAGGCAAGGATCCCTGATAACCTCTTGCAGGTTTTCAAGCAATACCTGTCCAATAGAAAGTTCATAGTAACACACACACTGGCGGTGTCATAACCAGAAGCCAGACAAAAGGCTGTCCACAGGGATCGTGCGCGGGTCCAGACTTGTGGAACGCAACTTTCGATTCCATCCTACGATACGAATGGCCGTCCCATACACAGATAGTAGCCTTTGCGGATGACGCGACCTTTGTGGTGGGCGGCAAGAGTAGAGAGATGAACTGCAGCAAAACTGCAATGATGTAATTGATACCTTCTCTCGGCTATGTCAGGAGAAAAAGCTAATAATTTCTGAGGCAAAATCGAAATATATAATTTATCATAAGCCAGGCCAAACTTTAATAAGAAACCCAACCATCCAGCTTAATGGGAAGACCATCAAAAGGGTCAGAGAACTAAAACTCCTGGGTATTATATTGGATGAAAAGTTCACCTGGCTGCCTCACCTTAAAGCCCAAAGAGAAAAGGCTCGCCGAATCGCAAACAATCTGCAAAAAATGCAAGGCCCGCACTGGGGCCTTCGGCCCAATATCTACAAGATACTTTACTCCACTGTCGCGGAGAGGGTCCTAACCTACGGAGCAGCCATCTGGGCAGCCCCGATGACAGTCAGAAAGGCAAAATTGCTAAGTAGTGCACAGCGACCATTTGTCCTGGCCATAACGAAGACCTACAGGACAACGTCGACTGCGGCCGCTTCGGTATTAGCAGGGCTTATGCCGCTCCCAATCAAAGCGCAGCAAGAAGCCTCAATTGCAAAGGTGACGCAACTCCAACAGCCATGCACATATGGGGATACATGCTATCTGCCAGAAGTCTACGAAACACGCAGGTCCAAACTAAGCACACATCCGTCGGAATATGGACTGGGCATAAGGACTTTCCACTCACCAGCGTTAACCCCGCGCTTAGACGGACCAGGGGCCGTGCTTTATATACAGACGGGTCAAAAATTGATAACGCTGTAGGCAGTGCCTATATAGCCTATATAAATGGAAACATAGCAAAGGAATGGAAGGGCCGTCTGGGCGCACAGAACTCAGTGTTCCAAGCGGAAGTAGTTGCCCTCACAAAGGCAGTGAAATGGGCAATTGACACACGGCAGAGTCGAGCTACGATATTTACTGACAGCCTGTCAAGCATTTATGCTATCAACAACCCTCTCCAGCGCTCCGCACTAATCTCGCACCTGCAAGAAGTCCTCCGTCTACAAGAAAAGTCAATGAGAATCCAAATTTCCTGGGTGAAGGCGCACGCCGGAATCCAGGGAAATGAAGCAGCAGACGCTCTTGCCAAGAAGGCTGCCCAAAATGAGGAAACGGAGCAGATTCAGGTGCCCCTGCCCCGGTCATGCCTAAAGAGGCAAATAGAGGAGTCCGCCATTGGAAACTGGCAGAATGAATGGGACCAAATCCCGCAAGGCCGCAGAGCATATGAGTTCCTGCCCAAGGTAGAGGTGGACCGGCTCATCTCATCGCGCCCTACCTCACGCGATATATAACAGGCCACGGCCCCTTTCCGACGTACTTTGCAGAAAGGGGTCTAGCAACAACTGATATGTGTGTTTGTGACAACGTTGGGCTCACCAGACCATTATGTCACGGAGTGCCCCTTAACAGCAGAATGGCACATCAAATTCCCAACTACCAATGTTCTGCCTTTCAAACGCCTTCTCGTAAAACATCGAGGCACGCGGCAAAAGCTTAAAAGCATAATGGACAAACTAGAAAAAATGGGCATAGACCTCTGCAGGCCAGAATAGGGCACATGCAATAAACACAATTGGCATAAAAGCGTCTTACAACTGTGAAGTCTCTAGATGGTTGCAGGGCCAGGGTAATACCCGAGTAGTCATAGAAAGCCGTCCGGGTGCCCTGTCCTGCTGTCACCTGTCACCTGTTACTCGAAATGGGAACCGGTGGATTATAGTTTACACAGATTACCTTACCAGATTTGAAGTCACAAAGGCAACACCGACACTGAGGGCACCGAAATTGCCAAGTTTATAGTCGAAGAAATTGTACTGAAGCATGGTGCCCTCCAAGAAATGATAAGTGACCAAGGACGCAACTTCCTATCCAACGTTGTTAAAGAAGTAATTCATCTACGCAAGACATCTCATCTGCTGACGACTGCTTACCACCCTCAGACCAATGGCTTAACTGAAAGATTCAATAAAACATTGGCAGACATGTTGTCCATGTATGTAGGCGTTGAACAGAAAATTTGGATACTATTCTACCATCTGTAACCTATGCCTATAATTCAGCCAAACAAGACACAGCGGGATTCAGCCCATTCTTTCTCATTTATAGCAGAGATATCCAGACTCCTCTCGACGTAATTTTCCCATACAGTATCGAAGATAGTTATGCGCAACATCTAACCACTACAGCTGAAGAAGCTAGACAGCTTGCAAAACTCCATATTCTTAAAGCGCAAACCACAGACAAGTGCCGATACGACGAGAGACATCGACCTGTCAGCTACAACATCGGAGACTTTGTCTGGGTCTTCACTCCAGTATGAAAGGTTGGATTATCCGAAAAGCTCCTAAGACGTTACTTTGGACCGTATCGAATAAAACGACAGCTCTCAAAAACGTGACGTACGAAGTAGAAAGTATGGAACAAAATAAGAAACGACGGAATTCAAAAGACATCGTTCACATATTGAGATTGAAGCCCTATCTTGATCCGAAGGTACAACTAGACGATGAAAGAAGAAAGCCCAATATTTCCAGGAGACCTGTTACAAGAAGCCAGACCAGATTGCAGTGGGACACTGCTTCTTCCTAAGAAGGGGGAAATGTAGCAAAAAATCGCTCTTTTCGACCGAGCTCCTCGTAGCTTAGCAGTGAAGGCGTAGGACGCGAAACTCGAAGGCCCGGGTTCGAAACCCATCAACGGCAAGATGCCTGATAATTGGTTTTTATGTAAATTTCCTTCTTGTTAATGTTATCTTATTTATGTAAATTTCCTTCTTATTCCAGAACATTCCAAGTCTGGAATATTTCAGGATGTTCACCAGTTGTATATAAGTGGCTCTTCATTCAGTTCGAGTTAATAAAAGTCTTGAATTTAGACTTGAGCACTTGCCTGTTCATTTGTAGAATCCCCTCATCTACGCGACAATATAAATTACAGTTTTTATTACTATTATTTTTCCTTATTTTACACAAAACTGCAAGAGCCATCACAGCTTCCTCCAAATGCAAACATATCCATCTCTTGGACAAATCTGCATTAATTAATTGACATATTAATTCACCAATGGAAAGGGATGCTCAACAGTTACTTAAAAAGGCCTCTGTTCCTTTTATAAAATAACTGGCATTTTTTAACTGCACTAAACATACAATTTAATTTTAAAAATTAAAACATATTTCTGTTACATATTAAAAAATAAATAAGACAATAATTATATATGAAAAAATACTTTATTTTCATAAGACAGGAAACTTCAAAGTTTATCTTAACACAGTCTACCTTTCTAAACAATTATTCATTAATTTTTAACATTATTTATGACATTTACATTCAATTCGAACATTATTTCTATACCAATTTTCCAAAATTATTTCTTTCATTTTTCATATTTGCATCACTTTAAAAATAATTATAAAGTTCTTAATAATTCCAAATTTTCAATATAAATTCAAAAATAGTATAATTATTTTTCTTTATGACCTTCCCTAAAAATAATTCTAAAATCTTAAAATGATTTACTAAATCTTATGTAATTTAATCAAATTATTAAAATTCATATTTCTGATACCATAAAAGTATATTTTATCATACAACAGTGCTATATTTTTAAAATCCATTTTAGTATGAAAAATATCAGTTTATAATATAAATTCAAGACAGAAGAGCATAAGTAAAAATTTCTACCACACATTTTAAGCACAATTTTCAGTCCTGCACCAGTGAAAAAGAACCCAACTAATTTATTTGCATAACAGCTGAATTGAGCAAAGCAATATAATAGACATGTAGCAAGCCCTTTTGAACACATTAAATTACTTTCATTCTTGATGGCAAAAATCAATTTGATGATTCACTCTATGATATTTTACTGATGAACGTAATTTCACATCATACTTCCCTACTCGATCCTGATATAATTTGAAAATTCTTTTCCCTCTCTTTTTGATTTGCATTCATACATTATATTATACATAAATTATTATTAGTCCACAGGTGTTAGCCCAGAAGACCTATTAATTTCGTTTTGGCAGTTTGCATCGAAACTTTAAATGTCAGTTCACTTTTCAAATTGTTGCCTTCAAATATTATCCCCCTATATTATATTTAAAGAAATTAAATAATGAAGAATCTGCATAAATGTATGTAAAAATTTTATCTCTAGCGCACGAAACTGTTTATCGGAAATTCTAAAGATATGCTGATTTTCAAATTATTTTGAGATATTACTGTTGAATTGATACTTATGTTTTAAGTCCAAAGAACATTTAATAAGTAAAGGTAACACATAAAAGGTTAAAAAAAGTTCCTTTGGGCATAATGTAAAATTTGAAAGCTTTGAGATTTTTTTTTATTATTATAGATTATTTTATTTCACTCATTTAGATTTTTGAACTGGCAAATAGTTCATCTACTGGCATTTGATGTGGCAGGCATACATCCTGCCAACTCATTAAAAAATGGAAGCTTACCAAGAGAAAGGTTTTGATTAGAAAAGTTCCAGTTCTCAAATTTTTGAGTTCAGTTTTTGAAATAAGCTGTGTCATCAGCTTTACACAACCTCTGTGTCATAGATTAATCTAGAAATGTTGCAATCAGGAAAGTTATTACTACTTTAAGAATACAGAGAAGAAATACACAAATTAGAAATGAGGAATTAAGAAGATATATGTATTTTTTATCTTACATATATACTCATACAAAACACTATACAATGAAAAATTAAAAACAGCCTCATAACTTACTTGTAATCCAATACTATCTAAAGTCCACAATATTTTCCAACCTCTGCCTTCTAGCAAATATTTTTGAAAAGTTTCAGAAATTGTTGAATGATCAGATTCAGAAGAAGAATTGGTTTTTACAGACTCACAAAGCTGGTACATATCTGAAAGCAGCTGATGAGCAAGAATATTCCCTGAACTCTTCCATTGAAAACTAAAAGTTAAAATGTGTGTTAATATGAATTTTAAAAGAGTGGTTTTGTAAGAGATATTGTAAATTATAAAAAATAGGTATTAGTAGTATTCAAAATGTGTTTAAATATGACAAGTTTTATACTCTTATTACATGATGCTCATTTTTTATATTCTGATTATGTGATGCATTTCCTTGAAGTTATACTTTACTTTCAAAGTCAAGCATAACTTCAGGAAAATACTATTCACTCATAATATTGACACATCTGAAAATTTATTAAAAACTTTATAAAAAATTTCTTTACGTGGATAAAATACTAAAATGATAATTCTCATAATTAGCTTTTGATCAAATAAATAAATACTCTTTGAGGAATTAACCAACCCACACCCCTGTTTTACTGATGTGATATTACACTCCTGTTTGTGAAAAGCGCAACACAATAAAGGAATCATGCAAATAAACTGAAACTTACAAGAAATGTAAAGCAGAATGTGATATACAATTCAGAGTGTTAGTGAACGTATGGGCTGAGCAGTTCACCCTGAAATGTTCCATTAGCCACATAAATAAAAGACTGTAATGGAACATAAAAAAGTAATATTTTGATATCTACTACTGTTAATATTTCATAAGAAATAACTACTCTTCATCTGCTACACCTCTTGATAATCCAGATTAATTTTTGTAAAGAAAGGTATAAGTTCAATTTTGTCCTGGCATATTGGAAAAAAAAAGAATTATATTTTAGACTACATGAAATGGATTCAAATTTACAGAATTCGGGCATCAAAAAAGCTAGAATACAGAACTTATAAAACAGTAAGGGATAAACAATAGCAATGAAATGTGAAAAACTTATGATAAGCACTTATGTCTGTCATATGTTATATCCATTACAGGCATCTCTTTACTACTTAAAACAGTTCATTCTTAACTAAAGAATGAACTGTTTCCTTAAACATCTACCAGAATGATTGGGGACATCTAAGACAATTTTCAAGTTCAACAGGATTTCATATTATAAATACATCTGCTTTTATGAGTGAAATTAAGTCCCTCCCCACAAATCTCACATGATTTTAAATGCAAGTTTTTGATATTCAAGCTGGTAATAAGATATTTTTATAATTTTAAAGCCAAATTTTTTCTCATTTATTTAGCTTTTCTACTGCAAATTCCATTTTTTTATATGCCTAACTATCTGGAATTTTCATGTATCCAGAATTCTGCATTTCCTGAGGTTTCCAGATAGTTGAGCTTTTGCTGCACTGTCAACAAAAAATATTACATCAGAGAGGTTGTGCAGCCTGAAGACATACCCTTCGCTCACTGTAATCCTGCAGGTATATTTCATGCGAGAAACAATGTCTGTCCATGTATTGCTAAAATATTCAAGATTTCTTTACAGCATATCAAGTATCACTTCTTCCTAGGCCAGCTCAGGTACTGAGTCAGGTTTTGAGCATGCCTGGTGTTTTGTGGGTTTTCAATAACACTCCTCCTACAGCCAATATGGATCAGCTTAAGGTTCTGATAGAAATAATATAAAATACTACTTCTTAGGTATATATTCAAAACCTGTTTGATTCAATGCCACAACAGTACAGAATCACCAAATACTGGTTTTTCGCATTTAATAGTCTTGTATTATTCTATAAACTTAACCAATTTTTCGCATCCTTACAGGTCGTAGCAGCAACAAATTTTACTCAGTTCTGATCATCCCTTCACGGTGCTGACACTGAAGGAACTTTCACATACAAGAATGTATATGAATACTTCACTTAATACAACGGCAGTTATGAGATCATGAATAAAATTAGCATTTCTCATTAAAGTTTTGTCACTAATTAATTACATGAAGTTTCTCACACATTTAACAAAAAGCAGGAAAGAACTTTTCTACGAATACAAATATTCTTTTCAATGCAATTTCCAGTACAAGGGATCACTATATAATTGCATTGGCTCACTACAAAGCTGCATGACGAATATCTCACACTTTTAAACAAAGGAACAAAACTAATAATCTGGGCTAATACAGAGGAAAAAAACTTAAACCCTTTAAACAAGAATTCCTGTACAAAGATATTAAATAAAAAACTTTTAATACAGCTTCTCAACAAAACTACCTCACCTAATTATACTAAATAATTTCTCTGTACTCAGTTTCTCCAAGCAATACAACAAACTCAATAATTCAGAGCATGCCCATAGATAAAATTTACTATTTTAGTTACTATTTCAATAACCTTATTCATCTCAAATTTTTTAGATCATATTTACAACAAATACATAACTGGAATATATTTGTAGTTTGCATAAAACTGCTTAGGGGAGCTGCATGTGACCAATCAGCTAAATATTAAATTTTAACAACTAAATGTTAAATTTAAGTTTGAGACCACTGATCTAATGCAAACACAGCATGTTACACAAGAGGGAAAACACAAAACTCTAAGCAACTAATTCAACAGCTGGAAACAGAGCCTGAAGCAAACTACCATTGTTTCATTAAATACTCAATCATACTGTCTCTATTAACTGATGCAAAGAAAAATTTGAAACAATGGCTGGAACTTTAACAGTAACAGCTAGCTATTTATACTAACACAAGAAAGGTATCCCACAGAAACTGTTACTATTCATCCTCACTGTATATACAACTTTATGCCAGGGATGTGAAAGTTATATAATAAGGCATTTCTTCCTCATTCCCATGAGCCTTCACAGTGTAACTGAAAGTCTAGATACGAACTTACGATAATATAATAAAACCTTCCCTTTACATTCAGAGCTCTCTAAGTATGTTTGAGCAGCATCATATCAAAACTATTTTTGCATTTCCAGAAACTATGATTTTTCATTTCAAGAAATCATGTGAGACAGGCTGAATATTCAACTGGCATATGTTATAAGTGAGAAGAACAGGCTGCATTTCATGGAATCTGTATAGCAGTGTTATGACTATTAAAGTTATAATCCATGGATTTACATATTATTTCCATATTTTGCTTTTATTTTTAATACTTACCTAAAGGGCTGATTTTCTTCTATACTGCTATTACAAAGTAATTCTAAGTACTTTGCTAGAAAAGTATCAAGCCAAACTTCACCTTCCTGTTTCCAAGAGAAATGAAATATTTTAAATATACAAATTACAACAAATATACCTGAAACTACAAAATGCAATCTACCATTATCATTATATAAAACCAAATTGATTAAATACTCTATAGAATTTTCCAGTATTTCTAAAAATATTGAAAAATTTAATTTCCTTGTTAGTAAAAAAATTTATATTTATAAAAGTATCAGCACTATGATAAAGTAAAGAATGCTTTGCAAATATTAATGATTTAACCAATTATGAATGCAAGTCTGTATAATCAAATCAGATTACAAAAATTAAAGCACAAACCCAAATACAATGTGATATTTTTGTACTGAAAAAGGTTCTACAAAAGTATTATATGCACAACCGAAAATTTAAGAAGTATATTAAGATAATTTTTCATATTATTCTTTAACTTTCACTTTAAAACAAAAATATTTGCTTAGCTTTACTTGATAGTAGTATTATATTTTGACAATTTTATCATGTTTCATCAAGACCATCTTCAGCATATCAAGCTCATTCTTTCCTTCATGTAAAACAACTTTAAAAATGCAGGTTTACATGTGAGAACATCTTATATTTGGAGTAATATAATGTATATATTGTCACCACTACACTTATGTCACAAAATAAAATCATTGTTTTGGCAAAAAACTTCCTTTAAATGTTTGGCATGCATTTGGTTTTGAGAAATATTTAGTTAGTGCTTCTACACTCTAGTGTATTTCTTCCATAAAATTTACATTTCCTTCTAACAAAGTGCAAAATATCAAGAAATAATACAGAAAAAATGATATAATTGAAAACAACAAAAGAAAAAAAATTATGCCAAATCCAGATTTTACTTTATGTATGACTACTTCATACAAAAACTCAACTACCTACGTTAATGATTTTCTTTCAGAAAATGGAATATTTAAGGACTAATTTATGAAACGGTAAGTTTTCAGTTCAATCAAAATTAGATTATGGTTAGAAAGACAAAAAAAAAAGGAGGTAAGTTGTACTTTCACTAACAGATATAACAATTAATTTTTCGCAATTTCATTAACTGAAGCTAGGGCTCGACAAGTACTATTTTGGCCAGGAATCAACAGTGACATTGAAAATATGGTTTCTAAATGCTTAATTTATGATAGGTTCATGCCTCAAACAGTAAAAGAACCTCGTTTTTCATGTAATTCCCAGTTTACCTTATGAAAAGGTATATACGTGAATATGAGGGCAAAAAGTTATCTAGTAATAGGCTGCTACTTAATTAAACGGGTAGACATAATTCCTCTAAAAAAATAAAAGTGCAGTGGAAGTTACTAGTTAATTGAAATCAATATTTGCAACACATGGAATACCCAAAACTTTAATTTGTGATAATGTACCATTTAATAGTTGGAAAATGAAGAGTTTCGCAAGGCATTGGGGATTTGAAATAATCACTAGCAGTCCTCAATATCCTAAATCTAATGGATTTGCAGAAAAGTTGGTAGGTATAGCTAAGAGTTTATTTAGAAAAGCAGGATTGGAGAAATTAAATAAAGCTTTACTGGAATATAGAAATATTCCAATATCAGGTATAAATTTATTACCAAGTCAAATGCTATTAAGTAGGAATTTAAGAACATGGTTATTAATTACACAAACAGAATTAAAACCAACTGTAAAAGATTAATATAGAGAAAAGGTGAGGAGTAAGCAGAAATAGGCTAAAATCTATTATGATAAGCATGCAAGGGAACCAACTTTAAAAGATTAATATAGAGAAAAGGTGAGGAGTAAGCAGAAATAGGCTAAAATCTATTATGATAAGCATGCAAGGGAAAGACCTGAATGTATTTCTGGGGAAAAGGTAATGTTGAGATGGGAAAATCAATGGGAGCCCGTTATAGTTTTAAAAAAGCATTCAACTCCTAGATCATATTGGATTAGAACAAAAGACAATAGGGTAATTAGATGGAATAAATTCCATTTAAGAAAAACTAAATCTCAGAATTTAGTAACATTACACTATTATGATCAATGTAATGAGAAGGAGGAAAATATAAATAGTGAACATCCAAAAATACGTAATGATCCTCACCATCAAGATAATGGCAATAATATTAATCATGATTGTGTATATAAAACAAGAAGTGGTCGTAATGTATATCGACCATCCAAATATGATAATTATGTAATGCAATGATTCCTATGACTCTCCCAAAAGAGGGAAGATGTTATATACATATGTGGCAACACACTAGTTGCTTGTTGAACTGAAGTAATCGCCAGTTGATGTTGGTTGGTAATAAACAATGTGTTATGTGATCCTGCAGTAATGTCACTTATTTATTGATCAAGTAATACTAATATGAATATAACACACATCAATTGCAGATTTTTAGGGTGTTTACAAAAGTTGTTACAGAACTAAAATGCTCCATTAAACTGATCATTATAAATTACCAATTTAAATGAGTATATTCATCATTTGATCAGCATTATAAATTTGCAAAAATAAAAATCCACTGCTTTTCTCAATTCAAATACATGGCAGTGAATGCAGATACTTTTGCCATTAAAGTCATCTTTTCATCCATACATTGACAACATTATATTCCTTGTCCCATTGAAAAAAAAACTTCTCTTTCAAGAAACACAAAGCCTATGTTCCGCTTGTTTTTTTACCTATGAGTAGTATGAAAATGTAGATTCAACATGAGGAAACAAATTGTGGATGAAGCCTGTAGGCAGACAGCAGAGGCGCAGTTACCTGATAAGAGGTAATTTTTTTTTTAATTCTTAATATAATTTAATTGATAAATAAATGTTTACCTGCCTGAAGGGATGGTCTTAGTGTACTGTTTACATTATACACACTACAGAGACTATGTACAATGGCCATAGTAAAAGGCTAGCCTGTCATAATAAATGACTTTAGGCTTAATCTAATGACTTATGAATCCAAACTATAACATTGTTCTGCTTGTTTAGGCTGTGTAAGAACCATCCCATGGTGACTGAAGTTCTTTCCATTAAAAGGATTCCATAACAACACCTTGTCACCTTCCTCAAATCAATGTCCTGTAGCTCTGTCATATCCTCCACTGCCAAGTGAATATGCTGTTATACAAAATTGTGAATCACTTCAAACCATGCCTGGAGATTCTGTACGTGCTCTTTGCATGATGAAGGCGGCAGACAAAGGTCATGATGGAAGAGCATCTGTGCCGGTAGTCATGCGCACAGCACTGTGATAAGCCTGTAAGAACAGAGGTAACTTCACATCCCAGTCATGTTGGTTTCTGGAACTATCAGTGAGAGATGGTTCAATTAAACTTCTCTACCATGCCGTCTGACTGTGGATGAAAAAGGTGTAATTTGGGTTTTGTATATGCCAAGCAGTTTGCAGAGTTCTTTAATTAAAGCCAAGATAAAATTCTTCATAAACTAGTTCTGAAAAAAGACAAAGGAATCAAAGCAAAACTCAACTCTTCCAAATAATGGATCAACAGAGGGATATTAATTCATCACTATGTAACAAGTTTACACAGAAAATGCTTGCCAATAAATTTGCCACTTTTTCGTCCATTGATTCAGTAATGGATACAGATCAAACTTTGCAATATCTGAAAGAATTTTTAAATGCATTGAGCCACTAGGAATACTGCCACACAAGCTCCTATTAAACAAACTTTTTCTATTATTGCATAACATCAACCCACCAAAGCTGTGCAACAGAACAAGGCTCATCATGAAGAACATATGGCCAAACATAACAGAGGCCACCATCATCATAATGCTGCAGTTGAAGAAGTATTCATTCCTCACATTCCATTGATAGCTCGTTACTGTAAAGGACCTTATTTTAGTGGGCCGTAATTTTTGTGAAAATGAATATATCGGTGATTTTGCGAGTTGAAAATTTCGCCAATTTTATATGAACAGAACCGAAAGTTGAAAATTTTCAAAAGTACCTAAGTAAGCTGAGAAAGTTGAAAAATTCCAAAATTACATCTTTTGCATAAAGCATTTTCAGAAACTTCCTTTTGGCCAAAAAGTTCGTCCCCCCCCCCCTCCGTTCCCGTCTAAATGGTGAGTTCAAGCATTTGCTCAAGAATGAGTTTATTGAGTTTATTCTAACGAGTTTCAATTTCTAGAGGAAAAAGAATCTGTGGACTTGCGAATATCATGACTAAAATCGATTCATGCTTCTTGGCTTGTGCACGTATTTAACAGTATTAAAGCCAAACATGAGGTAATTTTGAATGGCTTCAAAGAAGCTGGTATAAATAGTATTCTAAGTGAATGAACTGCCTTCTATTAATTTTATTGTTTTATATTCGAGAAATATAGTTGTATATTATTCAAAAAATATATATAAGAAAGAAAGTTGTCAAGAAAAAGCTTGCAACTGTGCAATAAATCATTAAATTTTGGGTAAGTGAAAAATTTCTGATTTTTTATTATTATTTGAGGCGGGGGAAAAAAAATTTGCAAGGCTTAAAGTTTCGCGATTACGACGGGCTCGCAAAAAACGCAAAAATTAAAGCCTCACGAAAATAAGGGCCTTTACAGTATTCAAATATGCCCTTTGATTTCATGTGAGTGCAGTTCCCTACCCGGCTGACATTTGTGTAACAGTTATTAACTTAGAAGAACTGTATAGCTTAAAAATACCATATTTTTCCAATGGCCAATAATATGTGGCTTGCTCAAGAGCTGGCATGTGAGATAGCTTCTTTGTTTATGCTCCAGATGGGCAAATACAAAACATTATGCACCTTCAAGATTTGGTATAAAAGGTCCCAAAAATAAAAGTGTTTGTTTCCTATTCAAATAAAATATAGTTTCCTTCAAGCTTGGTAAAATTTTGGGCAAAATCTTGAACCAAAATAAGAGGAAAATCAATTTCTACCTGAGATTTAAATAAAAACTAAACCCATCCTCCTAATAAAGCCTCTTCATTCTGTGAGGCCAGGCAACATCGGGTATTTCAACTAGTTACTTCATAAAAGTCAGTCGATAGATAATTAAAAATTAGTAGATAAAAGCACATAAGCATAAAATCAAAAATATTCTCATAATTTTTGAATTTTTTTAAAACTTAGTAGGATATTTAAAGATTCCTACAGTAATTTAAGAAAGAAAAAAAAAAAAAGAGGGAGGAGGAAAGAAAAAAACTTACTTCAGTTTTAGTTGTGTTTAAAAATTTAAGCCAAATCTTGTGGAGATCACTCAGCTCTGAAGAACTCATGTTTCCATAAAACCTGTAACAGTATAACATCGAGATTTTATTCCTGTATGAAATACTCTGAAACTACATTTTTCAGAGGATTATTAATATTTATAAAATTAGAGATATACATTTTAATTGTAATCAACTAATAAAATTCATTGTATTTTATATGGGCGTATTTATGTAGATGACAGATGTGGTCATCTACATAAATATGATAATAATTCAAGTATTAAACATATCATCTAGAAAGTTCTGAAATTTTTCAAATCTAATCGTGCTCTCCAAGTATCTGATGCGTATTAATATTGATTGAAGCAGATGCATAAATTCAGTCGCTTCAGCTTATACAGCATTAATTCTAGCACGTGTTGAAGTAAAAAAATTTTTCATTGTAGTGCAAAGATCGGAGAATTCAAAAAATCATGTTTGTCAAAAAATTTTCTTAAAAAAAAAAGGAAGGACTCATAGTCAGACTGTTTGTAAAATCTGTGCTGTGTGCTATATATGGGTAAAGTAATGTTTTTGGTGGCACAGTTCAAAGATGGTTTGAGTAGTGAGCAAATTTCTGCCTCGAAGATGATAGACAACCATCCTAAACATGGGCCCATTACAAGAAGCTACTGCTGAAAATTCATGTTCGGGGACTACCAGACATACTGATGATTCCAAAAAGTACAATCTGATGATCATCTGATGAAAACTGGATATGCTGCACAGGTACCCTATATTTTAACAGAGCAGAATATGCTTGTTCAATTTTCAGCAAGTGATTCTTTGCTAAAAAGAAATAAAGTAGCTCCTTTTTTTTAAATGTCTCATTACTGGAGATGAGAAGAGAATACTATACAAATAATGTTATAAGAAAAAGATCATTTGGAAAAATAGTGTTCCCATATGGAAGTTTTAAAAGCAGAAATCAAACCAAAGAGCAAAGAAAATACTAATCCCCAGAGTGTTGCCTTTCATCATGATAATATCAGCCCCACATTTCGATGAATGCGAGACAGAGACTTATTGAGTATGGCTGGGATGTTTTGTATCATCTCCCATATTCACCAGACTTTTGCCCTACCAGATTTTCATCAAGTCACTTCAAAATTCTCTGAATGGCATGGAGTTCACTTCTCTGGAGACTATCAAACGTCCCAATAACTTTTTTATGAATAAATCTAGTCTTTAAACAAAAAAAAAAAAAAAAAAAAATTCCCAGCTCCTGGAGAGATTCAAAAAGTTACAGAACAAAAATAATAAGAATCAATGAAATTTTCTTGTTTTTTGGTTCTGTTTCAATTATATTTATTATTAAAAAATGCATTTACATAATTTTGTTGCAATACATTCTCATAATTTTATTGAAAATAATGTATCACAATTAGCAATTTTTTTACTCTTTTGCTGCCACCCCCTGCCCTTAGGGAAACAAAATTTATATATGCTCTGGTTTTTAAAACAATTAATACTTATCTTTTAGCTACTTAATTTTAAAGCATAATAGCAACACAATTTGAACTCAAAAAGAATTTTCTTTTAATAATTTTTCTGTGGTACACAGGTCTTAGAAAGAATTTTATAATGTTAGTTATCACATATAATAATGCTACGAGAATAAAATTCATGCTGATACAATGGGAATAATCTATAGGTATCCTCTGGTAATGAAATTTAGTTTTTTGATTACCAATGTATATTATTTGTAACTGTGTTCAGAATGGCATCAAAAAGACTTATTCCCTTCAGTATGTCTTTATCTCCATATGAACTCTGATAAGACAAAAGACAAGCAATGGCAGATTGGCCAAAGAAATTGACCCTGGCAAGAAAAAAAATGTCGGCCCTACGGGTCCCACGTGAAATGTCATTATACATATAAGTTAGCACTATCATCATAAAAATTTATTTTATAAAATAAATATACGTACAAATAAACTACAAACACTAAATAACAGTGACTAAATTAATTATATAAACAAAACAGTGATTTATTCATAATTAGAAATTTAAATATTTTTTAATCTCCAGGTGCTTGAGCAAATATTTCCTCCATTATGTCTTCAATTTTTGCTTTGGCCAAAATATCCTATGTTCATCAATAGTAATGACTCCAAATTAGCTTGCTTAGTAGTACTCTTTAATCTACAATTTTAAATTTTGAAAAAGTTCTTTCTCTATCAACTTGCGATGTAGATAGGGTGAATAAAAACTTATAAGCAAAAAAGACATTGGCATATGCATTACTATATAAATTATATTTCAAAAGTAATTTATACATACACAAAACCCAATTTTTTCAAAAAATTTAAATATTTATATTATAATAAAATTATTTACATTATAATATACTTTTTTAAATTGCATTTAGCTATTGATGAATCCTCATTACTAAAAAGAGCACTTTCTCTTTCTGACTTGGTATCAGATTCAAAATAATGATTTTCAATTGAATTTTTTAGTATTTTCCATTTAATTACTAGGTTCTGATATTCATTCTTAAGATTATCAATTGTTACACCTGCATAGTACCCTAACAATATATATAAACAGTTGAAAGTGTTCAGCGACAATGTCTTCGAAAAGTTTTTGGGATTGAGAAATGATATGTTTTCATACAACTTCCTATGCCTTTTAAACCTACTTTCCATCAATGCACTGATTGAAAACCGTCTTCGCCATTAACAGCTTGAGCTTGGCGCCATATAAATTCGATAAGGTATCAGTCAAGATGATGACGGGCTGTTCCTCTCTGTTTTTTGTTGCGCCATTTGGCTGAGCTCCACATGCGCTCTACATGTTGTGCGTGAGCGCCCGTGTTGGGATCCACAAAGTTATATTTGTGATTAACAGTTCCATGCAGAAATCCTTGTATTTTCGAACTCACTTATATTGTATCCTTTCTAGCAATCCGAATAAATGATGCTTCCTTCCTTGATATTTTCGCAAATTTTTTCCATGAGGGTAACGGCGCTTCTGTTAGGTACAGTAAGCAAAAAAGTCTCTTTCTTTACTCGGCAAATTCAGCCGAAAACCCATTGCTGTGGTAGTACACGCCCAGTGTTATTTTTTCTTTTTACAAATAAACTTTCGTCTATTTTCACAATAAGTCCTTCGCCGCCTATTTGCTTTCTTTCTTTTTCATCCATTTCAAGGGCCATATCTCCCGCATGTAATTATTCCAATCTATAACAGTTTTGTCAGCAATTCTCATCTCTTCTGCACAAAATTTAATTGAGGTTAACTCTTCACACCAACAATAAATGAAGCGCACCGCTGTCACAAATGAAATTCGGCTAACTTCAAATCAATTTCCGGTTCTCACACCCAAATGTTGATTGCACTCTTCGACGTTACATTTCCAGAAGATTTGCTTTCCAAAATACAGTTTCATTTTATGTGAATTTTTACAAGTACATTCGTTCGTTTTAATTCCATATCCCTGCAACAATTCAACAGCATCTTTTTCACTCGCAGGCAGATCCCAAATACCCATAGTTAAAGTATTTCAAGGTATTCAATCTAACCAGTAAGAAAAATAATTTCTTTACGAAAAACTACGTATAACACGTAGGGTTGCCGTAAGTAGGGTCGCCAAATTTGGCGATTTATGCGAATTTTGGCCTGGTTGCGTTAATACGTAAGTACCTAATTCTTTATGGTTGCCAGATGTGCAAATAAAAAATAGAGGTGATTTGTCTTATTGGTGTTACAAGAAGAACAAAAGGGGAAAGTGCAGAATCGCCCCATGCTTGGCACGTTTTTAAGAATTGCACGTACTTGGTATCCATGTACATATAGACCTATTTTCACTTAAAAAAGCATCCCAAAATTGCACAAAAATGGCATTGCGCACTCCCTTAATTTTATCCATGTACACATCAACCTATTTTCACTTAAAAAGTCAAAGAAAATTGCCAAAACTCCAATTCTTACTCTTGTAAAAAGTGCTAAACAAATAAGTGGGTGATTTGCGCTTTACCCGAACAAAACTCTGAATTGTAGCAAGTATGCAAACGTCATACTTTTAGCAGAACAACTTTCAGAACCAAAGAGAACATTACAATGGATTTGATGTTGCTGAAAAAACGATATTTCTGTAACAGTAAACAATATTGGCTCTACTCTTATATGCACCCTAAGATCGCCAAATGTGGTGATATGTGTTCTGCGCTGGTTTTTCGTGCGAGTCCGTGTTGTATGGCACACCTTTTGACATTGAAAACTCTCTCATTGGTTCGTGTCGCGCGTGTTTTGAAATGGCCTATGTTGCAATGAGAGACGTGGTTGCAAGAGGGTCTGGGAGATTATTTTTACTGGCAAGTTTAAACAGGATGCTGTGTACATGGTATTCTTTGAAATTTATTGTAGTTATGTTAATTTATTAAAGCAAGGTGTGCGTAGTTCGTAAATTCGTTCATTGCCTAGATTGTGCAACTCGTAGATGTTTTTTTAAAACATATCGCTATGTAAATGTATTGGATTCTTGTCAAATATTTTTGGTTAGAAACCTTACGTTTTTGCTATCTAAATATTTTGTTTTTGTTTCAGATTTCTAGCTTAAATTGTGTCTCCAAAAATGTGGTTTTTGCACGTGCGAAAACCGCATTTTTGGAGACATTTTAGGCTTAAAGTTCGAAATGTAGACAAAAAATTTAGATAGTAAAATGGCAGCGTGGAGTTTCTCACCAAAAATGTTTGGCCACATTTAGCGACCTGAGGGCGCATATAAGAGTAGTTCCATAATATTAAATGAAAGACCCACTAAACTCTTCACACATCAATATAAATTATTCAGGAGGAAATCAATGTTATCCCAGGACATAGTCTGCCTGCAATGCATGGTTGCCATGCTCTACATCAAGCTATAAAAAGAGTTTGTAAAGAAATTTTGTCTCCACAGCCAAATACTTTGGAAAATATTGATATTCCATTAGAACTTAGAGCTACTGGTAATGAAAATTTTATAATAAATGATTCATTTCCTAAGAATGAACACATACTCTCGCTCACGACAAAAAAAAAAAAAAAAAAAAAAAAAAAACACTGCATTGTTGAAAGATGTCCTTTATGGGATCATGGATGGGACACTTAAAACTGGTTTAAGATTTTCCTTTCAACTGTATACCATCCATGCCCCTGTTATAACTGATGAAAATGCTACAGTGCTTCCTCTCATTTATACTTTAATGACCAGCAAATCAGAGGAGTATTCATTGAGCATCATGTTCAGCAGTATATTCATTCAAATATTGAAATAAATGAGATACTTCAATATTTGAATGACTTTCCTTATTTCATTATCAGTGATTTCAAAAATGCAATAATCAATTCTTCTAGCCACAAATTCGAAGATGCAACAATCAAATTGTACTTCTTTCATTTAGGGTAAGTGTATGGTACCATATTCAAGCATCAGGTCTTGCTAACAGGCATGAGATGCTCAGAGATAAATAGAAGGGCTAGGTCATTCGTTTGTTCGACTCCTCGCCGACGCGAGCCTCATGGAGGGAGTTAACTGGAAGTAATCTGACGTGTCTGTGTTGCACCTGCTCTGATTTCGAGCGTTTAAAACTGCAGTTTCATTCAGTTGTAGTTTCATTCAGTTTTGGAGTTTGCATATCCCAAATTAATTTTAATCATACATATTTGCTTTCTAATAATGCAAATATTTAATAATTTATATATATATATAGTTTTAGTCAGTTTTCCTCTTAAATTCTATATTTAAAGTATCCTTTACGTAATATGGCTTCTTGTGCTGTAGCAACGTGCCGTAACACCTTATAGAAATACAAAAGGAAGAGATATTGTATTTCATGCTTTCCCAAAGGATAAGTTGCTTTCGTCAAAAGAATGGATGCATAAATGTTGAAGACAGGATTCTATTAATGTGAAAAACACAAGAATTTGAGGCGAACGTTTTCTGTGCAGTGATTATGAAGATGACATGAGAAATCGCTTGCTTGGATTGCCGCAAAAGAAACTGTTGAAATGCAATACTGTGGCGAAAGTAAATTTATTGTATGCAATAAACGAAATAACACGAAGAAATTGGAGACATCTGAAAAGAAAACTAATGCAGAGTGCTTTTGAAAGGCTACACGAATTAAGCCCAAAGAAAATTTATTTTGAGGCCAAGAACGAAATTGAAGCTGACAATAATAAATCAATGTGAATGATTTTGAAATAAATTCACAAGTGACAATGCCCTGAGTGACAATAACCCTGAATGACCTAAGTCTAAAGATAAACAAGAATGTATTGATAATTTGAAGAAAAAAATAATATCCTTAGAAAAATTTTAATAAAATATTGAAAAATAGAGAAAAAAAATTTATAGAATGTTTGCTCAGCAACAAAGAAGGTGGACGACATCTAGAAAGAAATTTGTAATGGAAATTCAGAAATTAAAATCCCAAACAGCGAAATTTAGGAAAAAACAGCACAGATCGGACAATTTGGAAAAACAACTCAAGCATATTTTTACAAAGACGCAGACTGACGCTTTGCTAGAAAAGAAGGAAAAAATCAGGTTGACTAGTGAAGATATTTCACGTTGCATTGTCATAAGAGCTCTGTAGAATAAGTTTCTTAAATAGAAATGCATATGTTTTTGACAACCAAAAGCAACCCAAAAGGCAAAAAAGTAGATTGCACGATGGTGGTAGCCAATAAATAATATTTCAATAACTTGTAGTTGCACTTGTGACTGCACAAGTAAGCATATGTAATATGTTTTGATTTGAAATATTTCTCGATGACATTTTAGAAGTTAATAGTGTAAAGCATATTTTAAATGAGAAACTAATTTTGTTAAGTTATTGTTAAGCTTATTTTTATTGTATCCTGTGTTATTATTTATTCGAATTTTGTGCTAGCTGCTAGCATTCTAGATAAAATATAATAGTATAAGATTAAAGTAATTGGCATAAGAAAACCTGCCTCCTTAACCCCCCACTTTTGAAAAATTGAATCAATGTTTTTTAGGTGCTACTGTGAAGTAAAGTTGTTTTGTCTAAATTTAGGATAACAATCTTGCATGCATTAATTTAAATGTAATATTGATGTAAGCCTAAGTTACAAAATTATTAAAAAAATTATATGTTATTATATTGAATCAAGAGGAAAAATATCTCAATGTAAAATTTACAATTAGGCTGAAACTCAAAATGTAGATTAGCAGAAATTTTGAAAACTGCCAATTTAAAGTTGTTTTTTGATTAATTTTAAATAGCTGTTATTATAGTTATCTTAGAAGCAGTAGTACAGTTTTCTTAGTTAACAAGCAGATAAAGAAATGATTAGAAATAAACAGGCATTTAACGAAAAAAAATCCCAGCAAATTTAAAAAAAAGGAACTTTATGCTAAGAGTAGAGCATTTTATCTGTTATTTTAAAATTGAGTAAGTACTATTAAATTTTTTAATGTTCAGTATAAAATGCATACTGCAGTAACATTGTCTCTTCTAAATTATAGCTATCTTTCACACACAGCTCATTTTAAACGCTGGTTCTTCAGATTTAAAACGCTAATTTCTATGTTGTCAATTGCATCTCGGCGCTCTGTGTCATCATGGCTACGTCATCACTCCCCACTGCCTGTTTCAGGGGAAAAAGCTCTATGAGCTAGCCCTTCTTTTTTAAGTCCTGTGAGATGCTGAAAGTTTTAGTTTGGAATTTCAACACATTCCAGTTCCTGCAATTCTTCCATTTGATAATACTCCATACGCACTTGATGAGATAAAGCTTCTTTTTCCCAATGATGCAAATGGAACAGTACAGTGGTTAGAGGATAATTGGATAATAAAGATGGGAGGGTGGTAAAATCGGGCAAAATAAAGAAATGAAAGGATTACTAAGGAGATTCTGGATTTCTTGTAAATGTGTTAAAATAACATCAAAAAGTCTCAATGATTTGCACCATGTTATTTGACAAACTAAATGCTGAGAGCAGCTACCACTGAATTTTTTTCTGTTACTCTAGTAAAACTAAAAAAAAAAAAAAAAACTAGTAGGGGAAGTCAGCTTTCTACCTTTTGGTGCTCCACGTCTCTATAAACAGAAGTTGTACCACTTTTTTTCTATGAATCAAACCCTTTAATGTTTAATTATTAACCATAACTTTATTTTGACAACATTTAATTATTTCCAACAGTTACAAATTTACAAGCCAGCACCTTAAATCGGAAAACTTTCAACAAATCTAACAAAGAAAGTATTTCAACCCTAAGCATTTTTTCTAGGTCAATAAGTAAAGAACACTAATTGTAAAACACTATTGTTTCATAATGCAAGTATCGACAAACAAAGTCTAGGGTTCTTTCTGCACAGAAAATTCCACGAGAAATAATCACATACCAGACTTTAAAAAATATATTTCAGACAGCTTACTCCTCTGTAAAAAGAAGGGAAAGAAAAAATGCCCGTTTGAAAAATATTACTATTTTTAAGTTATAATCGATATTGATTAATATAAGCGTATAAAATTCAGAAAGTAAATAAACGTTATCTATGTAACGTTTCGTTTAGGGTACAATAAAAGCAAATCAACTCACTTAATTCTAATTCAAAAGCAGCTGAAATGTAAAATCAATTTAAATATTACGAAAAATAAGTTCTAAAAGTTTTTGCCTTCGAACATCTGACAAAGGTTTGAAAGACAAAAAATGAAAGTTCAAAACCCTCCAGATTCAACTGAACACTCTCAAAACACGCTGTAATTTAAGTCACGAACTGAAAAGGCTTTGACATCACGTGCTGTTTTGACACGTGACCAAATAATTAAACTTCAAGAGACTGGTGCTTTAAATCTGCTGTCAATGATTGGATCAAAAATAATGACGTCATCAGCCAAATGGTTATTTTAATTTATTTTCTAAGAAATAAAATATTGTAAAATCTATAAAACTACTTTCTTTTTAAAAACTCATACATATTTTAGTGTTTGGCGCATTATTAACAAATTTATAATCAAATATGGCCTTCCTCACAACATTTATCCAAATAAAGAAAGAAATGCAACGATGCAACCAAAAGAAATGCAACGATCGTTGCGTATTTTTTAGTAAAAATTTTCAAGTTTTAAAACGCCTCCCCCCGCCTTCTTTTGTAAAGAGTGACATTTTTGTTATTTAATGATATCAACTAAAATAGTAAAAAATGAATATCTATTAATAATTTTAATTAATAAATTAGAGACAAATTATTTTTCTCTTTCAAAAATATCTTATTGACGGTGTTTATAAGTTTTGACCTGTCATTTGAATATAATTTAATTTCTTAAGTGGCAACATGAATATATTTGTTTTTGTTGTTTCCGTTCACTGTATGTTGTAGACATTTTCATTTCTTTCCGTAATTATTGCTTGAAGGTGGATGAATATGAGAATACAGGCTTATACCTTTTTGTGTAAACGTTTAAGTCTCAATTTTAGAGGTAATTTGATATTCCAATTTAGAAGACTTTTTTTTTTGCTCTAGTTAAAGGCTTGGATCCCAGTGATTTAATGGGTTGACTGCATAGATGTGTCGTCTTTTTTTTTTTTTTTTCCCACAGTCCCCCGTGTTTTATATAACGTGAATACGAGCATTCATAAAGGCATGCAATCTATTGCAATGCTTTCCTACAATTAAATAATATAATCCAGCTGCATGGGTCGGCAACCCTATGTGCCGACGACTGTTTTAACATGTGGCCGCTGCTGTGCAACCAAGATTAAAAAAAAAAAAAAAAAAAAAAAAAAATATTTAAGTTTTCAATAAAATGTTATGTAATTTTTTATAATGAGTAATTAATTAGCGAAATATATCCGTATTTGTTTATTATTTTAAAAGAGCTTTCCAAACATTGCGGTGTTTGATTCTGGTATACGGTACACATGGGATTTTGCTACTTTTAGCGACTTTATGATGATAAGAATTTTGGGAATACACAGTTGACAGAATCAATTTTCCATTTTTGAAAAGATCAGCATACAAGACTAAATCGTTTTTTGGTTCTGCATAGTTTTGTGTATCATTGTTTTTCACAATGAATATAAAAGTACAGCTAAGTACATATTTTGACTTGCAGGTGAACATCTTGACAATTGCTTACCAGCGGGAATATCATAATACTCTTCTAATTATGAAACAGTAGCGAATGAAATGAAATGTCACATTGACTTTAAAAGGGATGTGTGTAATATTTTGTAATTATTTATTTTAGATAAGGATATAATCGACGTTTTTTATATTTTTAAATTATATATATTTTGTATATTATGCTTATTAACCATACCAACCTATAAATTTACACTGAAAAACTAAATTTGCCTGCCACTCTTGGTTTTCTAGAATGTGCTCTAGGATACAAGAAGAGGACTTATGAATTATCACAACCATCATGGTGCAGTTTTGCGATATTGTTTATTTAAGAAAAAAGAGAATGATGACTTATAATTGTCAAAAAATATAATACATACGGTATTTGTTGCAAAAATCAATTAATAAATGCTGTGAGCTCTTTTTTTTTTTTTTTTTTTTTTTTAATCTTAGTAGAAACGTAATATCAACTACTATAAGAATAGATTCAAAAACTTTTTACCACATCCTCTCCGCCACTGCAGGCAAATCTCATGAACATGTGTTTTACTATTGAGTTTCAGACAAAAAATACCATAAAACTTGGATTATAACAAACAAAAATTACAATATTGTTGGAACAAAAAATTATGATGTTGCTTGTTAATAAAGAAATATGAGCAGAGTTGCCAGATTTTTTGGCTAAAGTGCAGAATCACCCACTTATTTGTTTTGCACTTTTTACAAAAGTAAGAAGAATTGGATTTTTGTCAATTTTCTTTGACTTTTTAAAAGAAAATAGGTCGATGTGTACATGGATAAAGTCAAGAGTGTGCGCAATGCCATTTTTGTGCAATTCTGGAATGTTTTTTTAAGTGAAAATTGGTTGACGTGCACATAGATACGACATATGTGCAATTCTTAAAAACGCTCCAAGCAGTGGTTAATTCTGCACTTTCACCGATTTTTTTATGCATTCTGAAAATTTGGTGATTTTTACTAGGCAGTTGTGCTAAAGTACCCCAAAAAGTTGAAGATCAATGGTTTACTAGGCAGTTGTGCTAAAGTACCCCAAAAAGTTGAAGATCAATGGTTTACTATAGTAAACTTTCAATTGAAATTGAACCAGACCCCAAGAAGTTAAAACTTTACATCGATTACTCCAGCATCTTCCTAATTTTGCAGTAAAAATGTTGAATGTACATTTTTCTTGAAATAAGATGATTAATCCCCGCCTCTCAAAGTAACTAACAGATTAAGCAGTATGTAGAAAAGGTTCATTTTATTTATGAAGCTTTATTAAACATAAGCTGCAAAATTTCCACTACATAAGTGAAGAAACAATTTCCACTCTGCTGATATTAAAACATATATGAGATTAGTCTTAGCTTTCTTAACCTCGTATATTTTAATTATTTCTCACTTATACAAGTTTAACTTTTTGTCGTTTTGGCTAATCTTTGGAATATGGTAACGTGTAGTTTGGCGACATTTTGGTAAGGCGATAAAGGTTACGGTTGATCTTTGGATTATGGTAACTTGGTGATTTTTTGGCGAAAATTTCGCGACCAACTCTGCTACAGCAACCCTCTATTTTTTTTTTCCGCCGCCATTTTGTTTTCACGAAGTAAAGACATGTTTCTTTCTTTTTATTTACTGAACACTTTTTCCAACAATCTACTAGCCAAATTACACTTGTACTAGAAATTTTATCTAACAAAACTGCTTAAGGTTAATCTTTGGATTATGGTAACGTGCCGATTTTGGGCGAAAATTTGGCAACCAACTCCTGCTACAGCCAACCCTTCTACTTCTTCTTTTTTCTTTTCTTTTTTTTTTTTTTTTTTTGCCGGCCATTTTGTCTTCACGAAGTAGTAAAGACATGGTTTCTTTTCTTTTTACTTCCTGAACAACACTATTTTCCAACAATCTGCTAGCCAAATTACACTTATGCTAGAAATTTTTTGGATCAAAAGTGCTTAATCATGACAAATATTAACTGCAAAATTGGGAAAACAGTGCAGAATCGCAAACTCCTTGCCGCGTTTTTCAAAATCGCACATACACAGTAACCATGTACACGTCGACTTATTTTTTCTTAAAAAAACATCCCAGAATTGTACAAAAATGGCATTGCGCACACTCTTCACTATATCCATGTACACTACTTTTTTCTCATAAATTAGAAAAATTTCATGAAAATTTTGTGAATCTTTAAATTCGGTAAAAGGACATATATGAAATTACCTGATTGCGAAAAAGTATATACCCTATCCAAGGATGATCATTTCCACGTATAAAATAAATAAAATATCCAAAAACTTTTCCCTCTAAATTACCTATTATAAACCTCACCTGCCAATTCATAACGCAAACATTAAAAATGGTTCCAAATACTTAAATTCTTTCCATGCACATTTACTTCTACTCAAACGTATTCCAAAATACTAAAGATATATAACTCTCAAAATCACGATCATTAAATTAAAAAACACTACTAAAATATAAATAAGCACATACATTAAATTAATAAAAATTAGCTTACAAATCTTAATTACTTTAAACTAAATTCATTGCTAATAAACAATTTTCCAATAATAGCCATATAATTTATTTACTCCTCATTTAGAACAATGCATAAAAATAATATCCTCAAATTATTAAAAATACTAACTTACCAAATCTTCTACAGAATCTTGAGTGCATGGCGGATCACAAAATGTCCATTTTCACTAAATTTCCTGCACACCGTCATTCAAACTTATCTGTAATATCCTTCCTTTCACACAATCTCTCTTTTATCTCATTTCATTCGCACATGTTGGAAAAAATTCATACTTATCCGCAATTAAGCAATTCTTTGCAATTACACATAAACGCGATAAAAATTTCGGATTTACTTTATATAGGGCCATGGGATCCAAATATTAAACAACACTGTTTCACAGAACATAGAATGAAACTAATGCTACAAATTACAGCAGATATTTTTCCAAATTTACCCCCTTTTCCGATTAAAGAACAGTGATTCGTCCATTAATGTCACATGACATATCTCATGATCTCTCATTTCCCTCACACAAAATAATGCATAATCGGAACTGAGTACTTCTCACATTATTCCCAAATTCCTAGGTAGTAACCTTTATCGCCTCCAAAATGTTGCCAAACTACCTGTTACCATATTCCAAAGATTAGCCCACTTTTGTTCCATAAAAGTTCTAGCATAAACGGAATTCGGCTAGCAGATTGTTGAAAAAAAAAAAAAAAGCCTTTACTTTGTGAAAACAAAATGGCGTCCAAAAAAGAACTGTTGCTGTAGCAGGGTTGGTCGCCAAAAAATCGCCAAGTTACCATAATCTGAAAATTAACTGAAAAGTATAATTCACATTAGAAAATCCAAATTAATGGAAAGTTTTTGTGCTATAAAATTACGAAGACAATCATCTTATTGCTTACTAATCTAAGTATCGAAAACTTAACATTTACAATCATGTAAGATATTGAATGCATTTGAGACATCAAAGCGGACATACTTTGTAGACTTTAAACATTAACGTAAATGATCTGATATGATAATGAAATCCTGCTGAACATGAAACTTGGAAAAGATATATGCCAAGTTTCATGTTCAAAAATATATGTCAAGCAGTCATTGAGGCAAAAGTTTAAATTAACAGATCATTCTTTATTTAATGATGAAATAAAAAGATACATAACATAGCATACAAAAAAAAAAAAACTTAAAAATTGCTCATCATAATTTTTTATGTTACATCACTATTGTGTATTCGTTTTCCAAGTTGCATATTGTGGCTCTTGTTGTTACCTGGATTGTGAAACTTTGAAAGTACTCCACTTCATGCAGTCCCAAATAAGAAAAAAAAAAATTAAAGCAAGAAAAAATAGAACTGATATCCATCTTTACCAAAACTAAACTGGCTTATCGAGAATTAATCAAATTTACATTAACCCTAAATGAACCTCTTATGATTGTGTTATGATGTCGCAGTTATCCAATATTGCTACTAAATCTTGTCTGCTTGGCAACAATATATATAGGGTATTAGTATGTTTTACATATTTATGTATAGTATGGTAGTAATATTCAGCCAGCTTTTTTCGTATGAAAATATTCATTCATATTAGAGTGTTTACAAATAATACTGCATTACATAGCAGATAATCCTTTTATATCAAATTGCCAATATTTTCTGAAACTAAAGTTTTACTTCATATGTAGATGTCATTTAGTAATTTGCATTAATTTTCCTATGTTCTTTAATAATTAAACAATGTCTGAGGCATCTTTAATTATAACCATAATAACTCTTACAACATCCAGTTATAAAATTATCAAAGATAACGTTTCCA